AGGAAGACTGCTTACATTCCTGAATGTATGTCGAAACTTTGAATTAACCTCAGGTGGATATTTCTGTGATTATCTCTAGAAAGAATAACGGAGTAGCCGACCACAGACGCTACCACATCTTGCTGACGCATGAACTTCGCGGACTGTTGCCCACAACCAATCCAAGAGTGCAAACACATTTTCCTTACGGACCATGCACCTATCGCAGAAGCAGCCTCTTTTATTTAAAGCCAGCATAAATTCTTTCAAAACAACTTGCATCTTTCCTTCTCTGGTTTAATGTATAAAAGAGCCCGGCAGCTCCAGGATGGTGCCCATGCTCACTTTCTCCTCACAGCCCTGCTGCTGTTGGCTTCCACAGCATGCCCCAGGGCCTGGTCCTTTCTCTGACTAGCATATGGATCAATAGACCCTTTCTGTTTGAAAAGCTTTTGGTCATAAAGTTTTTTGTTTAACACTCCTCTTGTGGATGGCTTTATTTACCGGAGCTTGTGGGGACTACCAGCTTTGCCACCATTTGGCACGAGAGGCATCGAACAGGGTCTGTCGGGACTTTCCCCTTAGCTCAACCTTGTCAGCTATCAGTACCGTTCTCGTGGAAGCTGTGCCCAACACTGTAGTTATTACCACCAGGAGTTAAATAGTCCCTTGGTTCTTTGTCACATCCTAGCGACTATATTACCATGTCGGCTGTCTTTAGCCAGCAGGACCATGTAGCTGAGCTAACCTCCCAAGCCCCAGTTTACCTGCAACGTACCTGAATGCATGCAGCCTGCTTTGCCACCTCTTCCTTTGTTGCCCACCTTGCCTAGACTTACTCCTCTCAACTTCCTGTCTGAGGATCTCCCATTGTCTTCCCTTCCACCCTTTGGAGCCTGCCTTCTGAACACGCGGGCCACCTCTGCAGAGACAGAGGCTGCTTCCCACTCACCGGGAATCCATCCCACCTGGGGAGAAGTCCATTCCTGCAATTTCAGATGAATGCCAATGCTTCTAAGTCAGAATGCTTTTGTCACCTTATCTAGGTACTGCTCTTTGCTCCACAAGAGATTTGTTTTGGAAATGTAGATTATCATCAGAATTAAGCAAGTTCTTCTTAGAGAAGCTATAGGAGTCCTGTAAATAATTCTAAGAGTAAAACTAAACAAAAAGCTGTGTGCTCCGTACCCTGCACAGTTGGGGTGGGGCTCACAGGGAGGGGAATGTCAAAGGGCTTGTATTTAAAGAGCTGTGAAGACAGAGAGGCCTGTGGTCTTGCATGGCCAGTCCTGGGGGAGCACATTTTTGAAAGGGGCAAGTCCTGTCTTATGACTTGTCCTCTGGAAGAAAATAAGAAGTTTTCTGGACTCTTAGCATTCATACCCAACATTTCTTGTACTTTTAAAACATTTTGCAAGAATTCAAATCACTTCACTGCACAAAGACAAATGTTTTTAAGGAGTTGTATCCATATTACTATTCACTAGGAGCTCCCAGTGAGGATGCCAGCGGACGTACTATTCCATGTCCGCTACGTTAGAATCGAACAAATTCTAACAGAGCTTTGCTTTGAGCTGTTCACTGACTCAGGCATTTTGTTAACTGCTGTTGTTGCTTTATAAGTACACGGTGAAATGATATTTAAAATTCAGTAAAGGAGACGTTGCACAGTTTTAACTGCAAAAATTAAAATTGTCCCAGCTTAAGTCCAGCAGGAAGAATTTATATAACTGCATGACCATTTAAATATTGAATAAAAAGAAGAGTTTAGATTATGCCTTGTGGAGTTTTAAGGCTTATACATTGTTTAGGTATGATAACTTCAAGCCAACACAATACAATTATAACCAAAATAAAATCTGTGTGTTTTGCACATGGCAACTCTAGAGCCTTATACCAAATGTTTGATGATTGTAAGTGATGTTAAACTTGCTTACAGTATGTTTAGATGGACAAGTGTTATATTGGTAGTTACATACTTGTGGGACTCTGGAGAAAGGCATATTTTTTCCAAAGACAGAACATTGGATTTAGTGATGAATAATTGTGGATCTCCTGCTCCACTTCACAGTCAGCACCTACCTGATCAATGATCTTATTCCTGTCCCCAATGGTTTCTTTGCTTAGTCAACTTGACACATTGGAGCACTGCTCAGAGTAGTTGAAGTGATTTCATCAGAAAGTTGGTCGGTAATGCAAACAATATGCACAATTAAAAAATTCTTACCATACAGTAAGCATCTTTTCCACTTCTAGTATGTTTCTGGTTTTGTTACACTTAAATTAAATGCAGCTGGAACTGATTTTGGTGTAAGGAGTGAGGTAGGGCTCCAACATTTTCCCCTGCCAAATTGCTAGCCGGTTATCTCAAAATGATTCAATGATTAAGAATGTAATTTTAAAAAATGTCTGTGTGCTCAAAATGCTATGAAAATGGAATATTAATGAAATCCTGAAAATAAATTCTGACTTAATTTCTTGTTTGCAGATGGTTTGATTACAATGATAATCTTAAAGCTTGAGGATTTGTAAAGAAACAAGTTCAGGAATGATTAAGAGACACTCTTTTACTTACAAAAAAAATGTAACTGGAGGAGCTGAACCGAAACTGTTAAGAAAAATAAAGCGGTTTGTATCAGAGATGCAGAAATAATAATCATATTTTGAAGTGTATGTAGACAGAAGGGTATTTACTGCCACCCTACCTATAATGCTGCCCTGTTTCTTGAGCAGCTGCGAACCTCTGGAATCCTTACTCTGCAAATCAAATCAATCATAGCCACAATTTTGTTACAGGCAGCTAGATGTAATCCTAAAAGAAACAATATATATTTTTTGTGTGTGCTTCTCTGTCTCCACTTTCCATTCTAATTTTTCATTTAACATGAGTTACTTTTTAAAATTTAAAACCACTGCTGGAAATAAGGAATATTACAAATTGGACAGCTAAAGAAGAAATGAGAGTAATCAAGACAGCAAAAGTTTAGTGGAGGATATAAAATAATTTGAGATAATTTCATTTGCAGAATGACATGAACAATTTTTAAAAATATATATTTTATTGATTATGCTATTACAGTTGTCCCATTTCCCCCTTTATTCCCCTCCATCCTGCACACCCCCTCCCACCCACATTTCCCCCCTTTAGTTCATGTCCATGTATCATACTTATAGGTTCTTTGGCTTCTACATTTCCCATACTATTCTTAACCTCCCCCTGTCTATTTTCTACCTACCATTTATGCTACTTATTCTTTGTATCTTTTCCCCCTCTCTCCCTCTTCTGCTCCCCTGTTGATAACCTACCATGTGATCTCCATTTCTGTGATTCTGTTCCTGTTCTAGTTGTTTGCTCAGTTTGTTTTTGTTTTTGTTTTTAGGTTCAGTTGTTGATAGTTATGAATTTGTTGTCATTTTACTGTTCATAGTTTTGATTTTCTTTTTCTTAGATAAATCCCTTTACCATTTTATATAATAAGGGCTTGGTGATGATGAACTCCTTCAACTTGACCTTATCTGAGAAGCACTTTATCTGCCCTTCCATTCTGAATGAAAGCTTTGCTGGATAGAGTAATCCTGGATGTAGGTCCTTGCCTCTCATGACTTGGAATATTTCTTTCCAGTCCCTTCTTGCCTGCAAGGTCTCTTTTGAGAAATCAGCTGACAGTTTTATGGGCACTTCTTTGTAGGTAACTGTCTCCTTTTCTCTTCCTGCTTTTAAGATTCTCTCCTTATCTTCAATCTTGGGTAATGTAATGATGATGTGCCTTGGTGTGTGTATTCTTGGGACCAACTTTTTTGGGACTCTCTGAGCTTCCTGGACTTCCCGGAAGTCCTTTTCCTTTGCCAGATTGTGGAAGTTCTCCTTCATTATGTTTTCCATTTCTTGCTCTTCCTCTTCTCCTTCTGGCAACCCTATGATTCAGATGTTGAAATGTTTCAAGTTGTCCCAGAGGTTCCTAAGCCTCTCCTCATTTTTTTGAATTCTTGTTTCTTCATTCTGTTCTGACTGAATGTTTATTTATTCCTTCTGGTCCACATTGTTGATTTGAGTGCCGATTTCCTTCCCATCCCTGTTGTTTCCCTGTATATTTCTTTTATTTCACTTTTCATAGCCTTCATTTTTTTATCTAATTTGAGACCGTACTCAACCAATTCTGTGAACATCCTGATCACCAGTGTTCTGAACTGTGCATATCTGATAGGCTGGCTATCTCTTTGTCACTTAGTGGCATTTTTTTCTGGAGCTTTGATCTGTTCTTTTGTTTGGGCCATTTTTTTTTGTCTTGGCACACCTGTTACATAGTAAGGGGTGTAGCCTTAGGTGTTCACCAGGGTGGGGCAACCCACGTCACTGGGTTGTGACATTGTATGTGAGGCAGGGGTCCGAGAGGGAACAATGGCACCTGCTCTCTGCCAGTTTTCAGCCACTTCCCCCACTACCCACAAACAAATTGGGCCCTCTTGGTGCTGATTCCTGGGTGGGTGGGTTTGTGTACATCCTAGGACTCTGTGGGCCTCTCCAACAAACTCTCCTGTGAGGCTGGCAGTTTCTCCCACTGCTGCCTCAATGCCCACAGGTATTTTCAATCAGAGGTTTGAGGCTTTATTTCCCCACATTGAAACTCTGGGTTGCAAGGTGTGTCTCGGTCCCCAGTTGTTCCTCCTGGTTTATCTGCATGCAAATGTGGGACCTGGTATACCAGCCACCACCTTGCTGTGAGTCCTCTCCACCCTGGCTGCCTGTCTCTGTCCCTCCTACCGGTCTGGATGAATACTTCTTCTTTAACTCTTTGGTTGTGGGACTTCCATACAGTTCAATTTTCTGTCAGTTCTGTGTTTTTTTTCTTTTTTAATTTGTTGTTGTCCTTCTTTTGGTTGTGCGAGGCACAGTGTATCTACCTATGCCTCCATCTTGGCCAGAAGTCCCAACACAGACATTTTATTATGACCAGGATGTAAACACTTGAACAATCTATGTTTTATTTTTATAACAAAGAGACAACCAGTAAAAGAGTTGATTTTAAGAGTTTATTGTTTTTTTTTTTTTTAAAGCAACCAGGGTTTTCATTGTACAGGTTTAGCCCAGTCTCTATAGCATGGTATAGCGATAACTGAATTTTTTATAACAATGACTCAGAGGCGCTGGAGGTCCATAACTGTCTTCTGAATTATCACAGAAAGGAGAAAGAATTAGAAGAAGAGTTTAATGTTAAGTGTATTAAAAATCATATTCTAGTTCTTTTAAATTGGTTATCCAAGTATGATAATATAGCAGAGCTCAGATAACTAGAAAAGGCAATTGACGAGAACACCCCATTCCTATCTGGTGTGCATTAACAGACTTCTTACTGCACATAACTTTATATAGTTTGCGAACTAATTCAACCCATTTTACACAGCATTAATTATTTTTATTGAATTAGATCTGGGCTGAAACTGTTGCTCATTATCTCATAATAATTCTTTTTGTCTGATTTTTTGATGGTTTCCCTCATCTGACACAGTGTTTGGACTTTAGTGTGTATGAAATTTTGAGATCATCTTTGCTCATTCTGGTAATACTTACAATGAAGTTACTCAAGGCCAGGTATCCAAGACTATTCATTAATTTGTTCTCCATCTCTGTTCTTGACCTTGGGAAAAGAGAGGCCTTATGTCTCACTGGAATATGTACTATGCTCCAGGCCAGAAACTGTCTGTGTGTTGTTAACAGAGAGGACCCCTCACGGTTCTCATTAATGCTGTGCAAACAAGGGTCTCGTCATTTCAGTAACTATTTGTACATTTATAAAAGCAATACAGTCATGGGAAAAAACAACAAGCACAGCTTGGTAGAATAACCTGCCATGAAATATCATTGGCTTTATAATAATTTACTACAACTGTTCTTTTTATTCACACTGGGTAGGAAATGCTTCCATCTAACACATGGAATACGAATATATACAACAAAAGTTGGGTTTTATTATAAAAAAACTTCACAAAGACAATAACATAGGGGTTTAAAAAATAATTTTGTGCAGTTTCCTGATCACAATCATATGTCTGCTGCCTTTTACAGGGAATGATACAAGTATGATAGATTTTATAAACCAGTTAAAGAATTTTCTGCCTGTAATAGCCTACTATTAAAATATTGCCTTATTCATACAGTATAGGTGTTTTTCTTTTCCAACTGTAATTCCAAATGACTACAGATGACATGATGAGTCAGTTTTAAGGACACACTCTGCTAATCCTCTTCAAAATCATCATATATTTGCAGTTCCCTATTTCATCAAAAAGTTCACTGAAACATCCCAGAAACTGCACTGGGCCTCTGACTGCCATGCCCCTGAGGTCCCGAGTGCTGCATTCTTACTCGATGCCCACCATCTTTTTTCATAACAATGTCAGCATCTGGGCTTGACGTTTCTTTGGGCCGCATGCAGTGAGTCACGCAGCAGTGGTGTGGGGTGGACTGTTCTGTACTGCCAGCAGTCAAAACAGTTGTCGTGGGCTCAACAGCTCTACACTGGGAGCCTGGGGAACCCATTCTTCTATGGAATGGTTTTCTGGAGTCCAGCAGTGTCCCTGCAGGTGGCCGAGACATTCTGGTCCCCACTTCAGGAAGGACTACCCTAAAGAAGAAGCCTAGTATTCTAAAAATAGACAATATGGGCCAGGTTGGGGAGGGGGGTTGCTTTCATAAGTCTTGGAAAATACTTCTGATTTTAGCTCTAGGAGAATAGTTGGGGATTCTCTGGAAGCAGCAGGCTGGGAGAAGGGCTGAGTTCGGTGCACGTGGGGGAGTGCCAGTTTGGCATTGGCACTGCAGGTTTGGTGCCTACAGTCCAGGCAGTGTGCCCAGATCCATGTTCCCCTGATTGTACCTTTTATGCCCAAGGGTTCCCCCGGGCCCCACCACCCCATGCAATCCTTGTTTATTTTGTTTTCTACCTAGCGATGACAAATAGGGCTCATCTCTCTCTCAATTCTGACTGATGAGTGGTGGCTGTTTGGAGTTGTGATTTGAAGATTGTGAAGAAATCACAGGGCTCCATGGGAAATAGTGCTGTGATTGATAAGCAATGTCTGTTGAGGCTACAAGAATTGGTGTTAATGGAATGCATGCCAAGTCCTTATGTCTCTGTAGTAAGTAAGGTGAAAGAATGAGTCTGGCTTGATTTGTTCTGGAAGGATCTTTGGAGACCAGGGCCCAAAGCACTAAGTTTATATTTATATTGATTGTGCTTTGTTCCTGAAAATATTTAAAAAGTTTGGGAGAGTAATGTTAAGACCTGTGGAAAGCTGGAGGGGGGAGAATTATTTTGAATAGGTTGGTGCAGGAGGCCCTGGAAAATGACCGTTTCCACCCTTGGGTGATGAGGCCCAATGTTTACAAAGTGCTGATAGGGCTTACTGCTCACAACAGATTCAGAAAGACTTGGAACAATGGAGTGAGTCTCAGGCGGGAGACTCGCATGGTGGGAATTTCAGGCTGAGCATTTCTGGTGTATGCCTCTGGGTCAACAGCTGATAATAAATTGTGAGTATGTTAAAAAGCCAAGGAGAAATCTATTTGCATCTACATACATGCCTTGTTTGGGGTTAATCAAAGAACCTGGAGATAGTTTTCTGATTATGTCAGGACCGTTGTCTCTCAGCTCTACCTAGAAGTCTCTGATACATAACTCTACCAAGAAAGAAAAATAAAATCAGTGAAATTGTGTGGTAGGTGTGAGTGGTGCCATTTTGGGAAGATCAACTCACATTTGCCTCTGGAAAACAGGATCGATCACTTCTTCATATCTGAAGTGATTTAAACCAAAGCCAAACCTTGATTTTTAACACGAATCATTAACAGGTTGCTTGTCGACAATGTGTTGTCTGTGGCTTGGGGGATTACGTTGGGCCAAAGCCAGCCACCTCAAGCTGCTGATGGCCTGTGGGTTTTAGAAACTGTTGGATGCTCCCATCAGCAGGTCCCTTGTCAATGCACACACCTGATTTCACTTACACAGCAACATGGCTACATACCTTTTTCCATCAGTAAACACCTGCTCTCTTCCTCACTTGGAAATTGGGAGAATTTGAAAGGAAAATGTGGCATATTTTTACTCCTCTGAAAATCTCAGTAAGACATGGTTTTGGATATGTCTGATGTTGAGTTTCTTGCCACAGTGGCCATTTCAAGCTTTCCCCAAAATTGTCAGCAAAGGGTTTCCACCTTCCTGGGTGGTGCATAGGGGTGAGGATTCCTTGGTTCCTAGGCCAAGGTCCACGGTTAAATGATGGAATTGGATTGGAGGAGGAAAAGCAGCATTAGAAACTCAGCAATGTTATTTCTTATCCGACTCTGCATTTCACTCTCAGAGAAATGATTTCTTATTGGTCTTCCACAAGACACATTCCCATTTAGAGCATCTCAGCAGTTTCATTGTCTCTGGAACCTTCTAGAGGTGATGTCTGGCTGGCTATAATTGTGACTGTAGTTGCCTCATTTGTTTTCAGGCATTTTAAAATTTCGGTTTCTTTCCATGGATCACAATTGTCGGCATATTGGCATTACACACCAAATTTTAAAGTGTGTGAACATCACCACTGGGCTTTATCACCACTGATTTCCAAACTGGAAGCCTCCTTTAACTGGAAAGACTTGCTCTAACAACACAGAGGAGCCTCCTCCCTAAAGTTTCTGAGACTGCCCAGAGCACGAGCTTTGGGTTCTAGACAGAAGGTCTAGGAGGAGGCCGGGACGGGGGTGGTGCCCTGTTGGGAGGTGGGGCCTGAGGGGGCGGGGGAAGTGTGGAAGGTGGAGATGGAATTGGAGGAGTGGGAGCACTGGGGGGTGGGGGAGGGCAGTGGGATGCAGGAGGTGGGGGAGTGTAGATGGGGGCCGGAGGCGGCGAGCTGGTGTGGTAGGCGTTGTTGAGGGGGTACTTGGCGGGCGGATTGTTCTTGACTCTGGTGAAGTTGATACAGCGCCCCTGGAAGAGAATCAGAGAGAAGGAAATGTGAGCAGAAGCTTGCTGTGACCTGAGGACAGGGCAGGGGGAAGTGTGTGGGTGGCCTGAGAGAAGCACATAGAACGCTGACACAACATTCATGGCAGCACTCTGCTGGTGTACAGTAGAACTTGGCAACAAATAAGCTTCCTGTTTCCTTTTTCTGAGCTTACTCTGTTGAAAAATTATTTGTTAAAGTTAATTTTTTCCACAGTCTCTCAAGGAGTCAAGGAAGGGGCCCGAACCTTAACCAGACGCATAGGGTCAAGCTGAGTACAGAGGTCATTGACTTCAGCAGCCTGGCAATGCCAGGTATGAATATCCATTGTTGCATTTCATACCAGAGGAAACAGGCTCAGAAAAGGTAAGTCACTTTCCCAAGGCCACACGACTAGGAAGAGGTGGGTAGGTGGAGTTTGAGCATCAATTCCCTGTAGGACGATTCCCTGTAGGACACACGAGTGTGTACTTTGGGACTTGGCTTGGGGTGGCAGTCACTGCTGGGACACAGTGCGTGTTGGTGGGAGACATGGGGTCTGAGCAAACCTTTGCTCGCATGTGTGCATCTCCACCCATCCTTCAATTCCTAAGTCCAGTTCCTTCTCCGCCACACACCTTTCTCTGATGACTCCAGTTACTTAGCCTTTGTTTCCCTCCCTAAGTTCTTCTCTAGTTACAATCTATGCCTCGCACGGAAACCTGAATACTAAAACCGTGTGACCTGTAAATGCACTGCTTCCCTGTTCAGATGAGAAACTTCTGGAAGGGCGTGGCCTTGTTTTATATTTTGCTGCTACACTATTGGTTTAGAGATTACAGTTCCGTATTTAGATGCCAGCGCCCCATCTTCTCTGAGCTTGCATTTCATGAGATTAAACCAGGGCCTAACTTTGTGAGGTCCTGATTGGGGGTCCACTAACTGCGTTGCCCAGAGCTCCCAGATCCAGTGCAAGCTCCAGTTGATTTCATGCCTCCAGTTGATTTTGCAACCCAGTACTGTAAATTCCCAGTTGTCCAGTGGCCTTCTTTCACAGCTTGATAAATCTAAGCCTTGGTTACAGTTTATTTGTGATTCTGGATAAAACTCTTTCCTTCAAGATGTTAAAGTCCTAATGGTTACCATCTGTGATAAATTCCTGTAATGGACAGCTCAGAGTTTGGGATTTACTGTACTACACAGTCTGCCCTTCGTTCCTAGACATGCTAAGTCAGAGCGAGAGGCGAGAGATTCATATCCTTTAAAGCTGAAGGAAAATTCCAATCCTGGGGAAGGAGCAGCTGGTGCCTGGGGTCAAGTCCCTGGGTGGCTTTTGATTTCCTTTAGGGCTGGCCATCCCCTGCTCTCTCCCTCCCTCTAGATATCAGTGATGTGGGATGGAGCAAGAGAAGAGGCCCATTAATCCAGAGGCTGGGAGTTGGGTGTGAGGTGTGAGAAAGACCTTCCTAGTCAACCCCTCCAGCTGCCATCATTGCCTTATGGCTATAGCTGCAGGAGGCTAGGGTAGGCTGAGGCAGGGAGAGACACGGAGCCCCCTTCCTATGGTCAGTAGCACTCCAGACTGCACTCCAGGTCTGCTGCTCCAGAGCACGCGGCTGTGGTTCACTATCAACCCTAGCACATTGGAGTAGACATAATAGTCCAGAGCACTGGTTAAGCAGCCAGGCGGGAGGGGTAAGCTTGCTGCCCCCACTGCATCCCTGCTGCAGGACACCTCACTGTGTGATGTGGGGTGGGATAACGATGCCACCTGCCGCTGATAGTCATTATGATAATTAACCTACATAATCAGTGCTGGTGAAGGTCTTGGAACGGTGCCTGGCACGTGGTGCTTGGATAATGAAGTTATGTCTGGATTCGGAAACACACTCAGACACAATAATGGCCTTATCTACTGTAGAGAGGCAAGCTGGAGGTAGCATCAGGTTTTCTGACTCCTAGTTTAGTGCCTTCTAAGGAAGCTGCAGGCTAGAGCCTCTATACACCACGCCTGGCTTCTATAATAAAAGTGACATACAGGGGGAAAAATGTAGCATTGGCCATGTGACCGGAGCAGACCTCAGACCTGCCCTCTTATGCACTCTCTTCTACGCAACTCCTGTAACCTATTCTCATAGGACCTCCCACAGTGCTTTGCACACCCAGTTTACTGATGATACATTTACACATACTTATTGTCCTGAACAAAGGTGCAGACCTGGCACAAACAAATCCCTGGGGTCAGCTACAGTAAGACACAATTAGGGCTTCAGGGAGGGGTGTGGCTACAAACTAAGTTCTTAAAACCTGGAGCCTGAGGAGCCAACACAAACATGGTAACACTTAGACCACATAATTGGCCTAAAGATCAGTTTACACGACATCATTTTTTGCTTGTGACAGGATAATAGAAAGGCCAGATGTTCCCAGTGTCCCGTATGCCAGTGAATCTGCACCAGTGTTTGCTTAAAATGTTGCTAGGACGATGGGAGCTCTCAGTTCCGACACTGGTCTTTGTAACCCACTTTAATTCTTTGCAGGATTGTTTTTCAGTGGTTTGATGCAGATCTAAAATTTGGCTTTGACCTCAGTTTACCCCAGCTTGCTCATTTATGAAGAACGAATGCCAGTTATTTTCACACATTAGCAACAAAATGCTCTAGATAAATTCTAAGGAGAAAATGCAACAATATCTCCTGCTAAGTGGGAGCTTGGCAGGAGGCGAGGTGGTGTTCCTCCCAGGCTGGAAAATGCCACTTTTATCTGATGGAACCTAGTGGTGTTGGGAAGAGGATTAGGAATGTCCAGGTACAACATCTTTATTATCAAACCCCTGTGAGCTGCGTATTATTATCTCACTGTGCAGAAAAAGACTGAGGGCTTCAAATAATGTGCCCAAGATTGCACAGCCAGTGGAGGGTAGGAGTTGGATTAAAACCAGCTCTGCTTGTTGTAGGTACTAATCCTTTCCTCACTGTGTTATCCTGAAGATGGACTAAAAGTACAAACAATTTCTTGAAGCACTTATAGATGGTCTCACACAGTGTAACGCTTGGCCACAACCCATCGGCTCTTGACCTGGCTGTCTAGTGATGTTTCCAGAAGGAACCTGGTCAATTCACTGCCCAGTTCAAAGTTCTTCAGTGGCTCCACATCGTCTTTAGAATAAAATCCAAACCTCTTTGGTGACATATCAGCCCTTTTGTGTTCTGGTCCAGGCTCACATCTTTCAATTCGTTTCTTGCTCTTTTATTGCAGGGTGTCCAGGCTGGCCCATCCTCAGCCCTCCACAAGAATTCGTTCAGTGGAAGGATACACTATGCCAGCTGGCACTCTTCTCAGTATGAACGTTGCTCCCCAGCTGGTGGGTATTTCTGACGCAGGTTCTGGGTCTTCTCTTCCTGATATCTAAAGCAGCACTAGGTTCAAGTTTAATTTAGCGTTTAACAATGCTTCTTCTCTCCCTGAGGCTTTTTGAGGCGGAGGGAGCCTTTGGTGAAAGATCAGATTTTCCCTGAAAGTTTAGGTTCCCAGAAGCTCAGAGGTCCATGAACTCAGCAGCTGTGAGATCAGGTCTCCTTGTTCCCCCTCTCATGCTCTCTTTGGACATCTCCCAGGCTCTTGGGGTGGGGCGGTGAGCATACCATGCACTCCCCCTGATTTCCACACTAGACATGTTAACATGTTACCTTCAAAAATAGTTTTTTTTGTTGCTTTTGATTGATTATCAAAGCAAATTATCCCTCAACAAAACACTTTACTTAAATTAGAGGTGACACTCTGAAACAATCATGGCACAGTTGAGATGACAGATCTTGGTGACCTAGGTTCTGGCTTTTCCCGTTTTGAACCACAGACACTGAGGGTCCAAGGAGAACAGAGATGGGGGAACAGGATGCGTCTGGCTGGGGCTGCCCTGCGGGTCAGGCCTGGGAGGCAGAGTCCTGCCTCCAGTTCTGCCCGACGCTCTCTCTGTGGAACCTTGAGTAAGTCTCCTCTTTATAGGCCTCAGCTTCTTCGTTTGTAAAACATAATTGTGCTGTCTGGATGACCTCCAAGGTCCTTTCAGCCCTAATATTTTATGATTCGATCAAAATTCGAGTTGTTTTGGAGTCCTTTCCTTGAATACCTTCATTGGAATTCTTTTGGGGCAGTTTGCACAACTTTTTGTACTACTTAGTTTGGCTAACTCTTTGTACTCCATGTTTTCCAGTTCATTATCGAATTTATAAAATACTAATAAATTGAATTTCATAATTGGACTCTCCATCCTCTGCTCTTTGTTATCATGGTAGTCTCAAGCTTGCCTGTGCATTCTAGATTTGAATTTGTGGGATGAGAGGGGGGATGTGAGAAGAACTGTGGGCTGGTTGGGTGCGAGTGTCTTGCCAGTGATGAGCTCATGTGCGCTGAGTGTTATAAAACATCTGTTTAGGTATCAGGCACGATCATGGAGAGGGAGCTGGCCTTTGGATATGGTTAAAAATATGCCACGTTCCCACAGATTAAACATAATAGTTTCCTATGAACAGAGGTCACTTAAGAAAGTTGATTGCACAGGAAGAATACGAAAATAATCAGATGGAAAAAGTATAACATGTATGCCAAGTTTCTTCTGACAAATACCTTTTCTCTCTGGCCTAGTTCTCTTCATTAATTGCCTTGTTTGGAGAGCTGTAGGTATTTCTCAAGTTACAAATGGATTGAGTTTCTGAAGTTTGTTTTAAGTCATTTGTTTAGAATTAGGAGCATAATTTCTAAGTTAAGTCACTCTTGTAAATGGGGGCTGGTCTCAGGCTAGACCATAAAAGCTCATTGGTGCGTTGAAGGCAATTGATGTAATTGTGCCGAAGGTGGTGCTGTAGTGATAAATGAGACATAGGCGCAATGAATGGATGGAGGGCTGGACGGGATGACTTCACAGTGCTTTCTGTCCTACGATTCTCTTCATTTGTTAAGTGCTTTGTGCTTTCAAGCTTTTGACAAGTGGTTTTTGAGCACCAAC